TATTATATATTATATTATATATTATATATTATATATTATAAATATATTATAAATATATTATAAATATATTATAAATAGAGCACGAGATGTATTTAAATAATTATAAAAAATGGTATAGATATAATTTAATTACTTTTAAATAACTAACAATGAAAATAATTACATAGTTTCAAACTTGCAATTTGTTTAGTGTTTTACTCTTGTATATAACTTACCAGGAGCAGTAAGTAATCCCATTCCAAACACTGGAGGTACGAGTTTATAGAGACTAGCTTTATCTATACAATTTTTGCTGTTTAAGACAAACTACAACGTTATAAAACGTTATAAATTAGTTATTTCTTTATTGCATATTTGTAATGTTATGCATACTTTTGTTCTATATAACTAACACAAATTTTATCATTTGTAAAACTTATTTATGATTAATTAACATAAATTAAAATATTAAAATTTATAGCATAAAGCGTACTAACATACGTTATTTGGGATATATATGTATGTAGATATATATGTATATGATTTGTATAAGTAGTCTAAAATAGATACTTATTAAATTTTAGTACAAATATTAATTATATTAGACAAAAGAGTCCTTTCATTACTTTTGCTATATCTGGTGAGGATATACCAATTAAAAGCTTGCTGCCTATCCAAACTTGACAAAGAGATGGATAATCTTGAAGTATATTTACTAAAACCTCTAGAAAATCTGAAAATTTTAATATATCTTGGAGATGGTTTCTATAAGATAACTTATTTATACGTTATTATTACAAAAATAAAGATTATGTTATTTGAGCTAATATATGTTACATACTATTTATCGCTATTAATAAAACTAATTTTTTTGTGAATATTGACGTGCATATATACATGCAATTCTACATCAAGTCAGAAAACAAATGTGCAAAAATGTATTTTTATTATAGTAGATTTAGAATAACGCAATCATCATACTTATACATAAAAAAGGAGACATCACAAAGCTTGAAAACTACCGACCTATTAGCCTACTATCGCACATATACAAACTCTTCACAAGGATCATCACTAATAGATTAACGACAAAATTGAACCTCTATCAACCAAGGGAACAGGTGGTATTCAGACCAGAATACAACACAAACGATTACCTCTAGCCCCTTAAAAGTCTAATAGAAAAATCAACAGAGTACAAATTTTTGGTCCTAGTATTCATGGACTACGAAAAAGTGTTTGACACTTGACGATAAACCAACGATGCTGGAAACATTAGCAGACTGCAGAATAGATCACTGCTACACTGCAGTAATCAAATATGTGTACGAGAATGCCACAGTAAGTGTCAGACTTCATATAAAGACACCGATAAATTCCGTATAGAAAGGCATGTTTGTCAGGGCGACACCAAAAATATTTACAACCTTATTAGAATACATGTGCATACGCATAAACTGGAACACTCTTGGCATAAATATAAACAGTAAAATGCTCAATTATTTAAAATTCGCGAATGACATAATTCTAATCTCTGAATATATCGAGAACGCCAAATCAATGCTGGAGAGACTGAATGAAGCTTATCGGAAAGTAGACTTAAAAATTAACATCCAATTAAAGATCAAACTAACGAGGAACCTCGTTCTCAAAAATATGAGCATTGACGGAAGTTATATGAAGCAAGTGGCATCTTACAAATACCTAAGCCACGAAGTAGAGATAACCAAACATGCCATCTCACGAAGAATAAGATCAACATGGACTGCCTTCGGAAAACTACGGTACATATTAAAATCAGAACTCCCAATGTGCTTAAACAGAAAGATCTTCAACCAGTGAGTCTTGCCTGATGTTTTTATGTATGGCGCGGAAACATTAACGTTGATTTAAAAAAACAATTGATAAAAGAGTCACGCAGCATGCAATGGAGCGACCAATGCTGGGACTATCCCTTAAAGACAAAAGGTCCCAAACACAGAAATCCATAGGAGAACTAAGGTATCAGATGCTATAGAAAGAATAACAATCCTAAAACAGAATTGAGCCGCAGGTCATGTCGCAAGAATAGATGATGATATATGGACCAAAAGGATCATAGAATGAAGATCTAGGCAGAGTGTTCACAGAAGTAGAGGACGCCTTTCAACTAGATGGACTGACGACTACGACGTATACACACAAACGTGATACAAGCCGCACAAAGCAAAGAACTATAGAAGCATTCATGGGAGGCCTATGTTCAGCAGTGGCCGAGTAATGGCTGGTGATGATGATAATGCTATTTTTAAATTTCTGTTTAAATTCTTCTCTATCTTTAATAATATTATAACTATTTGTTATTACCTTCAAAATTTTTCAGAAGATGATAGAAACTACCAATAAGTGGCAATGTTTTTAGTCCTGGTACGTTATCTAATTTTTTTATAAAAAACACTTTTTGGTAGCAGTTCCAAAAGAAATAACTTATAAAAGCAATAGCCAAACAAATCAATACATTTACGTACAACAACATTGTATTGAGCTATAACCAAAACAAGGTGCCAGTGTAACTTGATATTAACTTTTATATCAAAATGCAGATATGATTAACTCGGCGATGTTTTTATTACATTTCCCCACTTATAAATCTGCTGAATCAAAAACAAAAAATATTAAAATTTATCGAGTTGACAATTCATATTCATGTATTATTCTTCTCGATATGCATAAATACATAAATGATTAACATTTTTCAATGCAATAACACTTCTATATATTAATCATCTTTGACTATATAAGTATGGACTGATAGTAATTAACTTCACACGTGTCGCCAAGCTGGAAGATGTAGACTCCACCTCAGTCAGTAATTTTCTGCGGGAGGGGGAAGGCTCCTGTGAAATCAGCGTGTTTACGACGTGTAAAGGAAAGGTGCTGAGTCTGTTTTAATTTCATTCCGTCGATTTGAGATTTTTTTTGGCTCCCTATCAA